GAAGTATTGAGCAGATGTATAGACGCCATACCGAGCATTCTCTCTGTCTTCAGTCTCCCCGCTTACCCTCGCCTTGCCTGTTCTCTCCTTCCGTGATCCTAACCTTCTCCCATTCCTTCCTCAGTCCAGTTCCCGATCCTAACCTGCCTGCCCCGCTGAGCCCGGCGTCCTGTGTCCTCCTTCCCTCGTGTTCCCTGTTTTGGTGTCACTGTTTCGGACGGATTCCCCTGGCATCGACCTTCGCTCTAGGATCAAGACTTCGACTTCTGCGCGCCCCTTCTGTACCTTCGCCTCGGTTCCACCTAGGGAAAGCTCCGTCTCCGCTCGCCGCCCTCATAACCAGCGATCGGACTGCGGAGCTGTCACCGCTTGCCCGTATACCACGGGTCTCGATTGCTTGCCTGATTCAAACTCCAGTAAAGCCTACCTTTCCCCGCACTTCTGGATCTCTGTCTTTCTTACCCCGAGATCGTGACAGTATTTCTTAAATATCACAGGAATACCATATGATTACCACAGGATATTTTTGTAAGGGCAACACACTGTCTGTTTGCTCCACTGTCCTCTGGAAAAAGAAACAAGACAATCAAATTATCTAAATATTAATAATTATAATAATGATAACAATAAATATAATAATAATAATACATCTAAAAAATGATCTAAACCTTGTTTCAGTTCATTGTTTCAGTTACATATTCATTAACTTGATTTTAAATAATACCAGTGCAGCCATAAGGGGGCAGTACAAGACTATTATAAATACCTTCTGGGCCAATGCAATCATACTGCAGTCAAACTGAATTCAAATCCAGTCTGTAACATATTTTCTATATTTATATAAATTAGATAGATAGATAGATAGATAGATAGATAGTAAAAATGGATAATCTACTGTACATATACAATAGATGGAAAAAAGATAAGCAATACTAATACTAACTGCATGTCTTTAGTCTGCCGCAGGAAAGCTGTATAAATCCCATACAACACAGGGAGATCATGCAGATATATACTGTAGAGGAGAGGAAGGAAACAGTACTGGCCACTGAGCTGCCGTAATGTTTAATTCCTCATCATAATAGTATGTTTCCTGGCTTCTGCTTCCTGAGTAAATGTTCCCTTGTTGCTGACATTCTTCAGTTGTGTTTGATTTTGATAACCAGAGAAAACAGAGTCTGCACAAGTTAATCGATTCACTATTTACTTTGTTTTTAAGCCATTAAACTGCATAAGCTCCCATTGTGAGCAAATTAGCGACCAAAGAGACTGAGCAATTACTGAACAAAGAGTGCAAGTGTTTTATAGCACAGAATGCCATCATTGCTGGGTATCCAGAGGGAGGATTTATAGTATGTGTCAATCACTCATTTGCTGTCTTAAGAGAAAGCAGGGCTTTAAAAAGGGCCCAGCGTGCTGATAACTTACTATCCCCCAGCAGCATCGCAGGCTATCCAGGCCAGTACAGCTCAACTCTGCTACCATGAAGACCTGCCAAGTCCACTGTGTCCTTGTTCTTCTGGGACTGGTTATGGGCCTTTGCTACCCCAGTGCTGCTTCACAACCAGACCTGCGCTACCGGAGCTTCATGCAAAGAGCCCACACCGCTGCTATGAGCCCACAGGTACAGTACCATGCACTTCTGCAGTAAGTTAGGTAGCGCTACCTTGCTCTTAATATATAGATTGGACTCATTGTAGGGGTGGCACAATTTGACTGGTTGGTGTGAGCTTATATCCAGTGTTACCTGTTTGGCGGAGCCAGATTCATTAATGAACAGAGGTGGTTTCTATTTAAAGACAATCACATTTCAGTGATGGAGTGGACAAAATGATGCTGTTTCATTGAAAACTAACAAAAAATATTAACAAACCTAGTCACTATATTAGCAATCAAGCTCCCTTTGGGCCTTACTGAGGACAAAAGAGAAACATGCAGCTATATATCTGTACATAAGCAGATTATTAGGTCATTGTTGTATTTGTGTTTCAATAACTGATCTAAAAGCAGAACATTCAATTTTATGTACATAAGTACAAGTATTTCCCTTTTGCAGTACTCTATAGTTAAGATGAATGTATTTTTTACCCTTTGTCTTGTTAACTTTATCTCTATTAAAATAACATCTTTTAATTCTATTATGTGTATTTATAATTTTTTTTGTTTGTTTATACACACACATATATGTTTGTTAGGACTGGAACAGGCGTGTGGTGGAGGACCTGCTTTCTAGATTGGCCCCCCCTGAAGATGACACTCCCCAGAGTGAAATGTCCACAGCAGAGGAAGGAGAAGAAACGCGTGTAGAGCTGGAGCGCTCAGTGGAGCCCAACAACCTTCCCCCACGAGAGCGCAAAGCAGGCTGCAAGAACTTTTACTGGAAAGGTTTTACTTCCTGCTGAGTTTCCTTCCAGTCCCTATCAAGTAATCCTAGTCTCTCACACCCCCTACCCTGATATATGCTGAATAAATCTAAGAAGCAGTTTTACTTGACAATTTATCACATTGTACTTAAATAAGTAAATAACAAAATAAAGTGCAAGACTTAATTTGAAGATGCTCGTTGTCTCCTGATTTACGAATGACACAGTAAAATATATCAACAGATACTAATGCATTACACTATCACACATATTAAAAGATGCGGATATGTGGCAGTTTAACAGGATTATGTGAAAATTGCAGCAATAGGGGACATTGTGTGATGAAACCAGGAAGACTGATCAAAAAAGAAGCACTGGAGTAATGACACCATGGGGACAATTCAGAAAGGGGGCGGGGGGGACTTTGGTGCCTTGTGTTAATGGAGCAACAGCAGGCAGTGGTAGAAACAGTGCTGCTTTGCGCGTACGGCTGATTAAGCGGGCCTCTTACTGAGGACTAATGGGGCAGCTGATGCATTTTTCATTAGTGCCTCATTGCTTGTGCAAACAGGAACACCTTCAATGTTTTTCGCCCCCCGGGGTTTGTAAGCAGGCAATGTGGAAAAAAGCAGTTAGTCAAAACGAAATTGTTATTTAATTATGCTTTTGAACAGACCAAATATTTATATGCATCTGTTGTGTTTCATTTTCAGGTTTGAAAAACAGCTCTCTCAAGCATTAAAAATTGAAATGGTGTTTATACAGTAAAGACATATATCTGCATCGCTTTAATGTTATTTTACATTGAGAAAATTTCCCATTCTCGGTAGTCGGTCATTAATGCCTAATATGAAGTGAGTTCTGGGTATGCTAGGCTCTTCACACTCTGCTGGTAGACTGAATCATCTTCTTGCAGAAGTACAACACCACATGGATCCACACTGTCCTGTATCCAGTAAAATAAGTCTCCATTTAGAATGGTGTTGCATTATAATATATTACTTAAAATTCTATTCCATTCATTCTTTTTACATTGTTTACAGAACAAGTTGATCATCTGCAAGTGCCATCCTGCAAAATCACACAAAAAGCTTTCACTTTCTCAGTCACTCAAATGTCAAGCTAATTACATCTTCCATTATTTAAGCATATATAGCCACTTTTGCGTTAAAATTTGCAGAATCCAATCTGGCAACTGTCAATCAACAGATTGTGCTGTTTGGTCCATCTTGGCAAAGGGAACAGGCCAAAATACAAAAGCCAATTTACGCACCCTCATTTCAGGTCCTTTTTGCATTTCTTGGGCCATTATATGCCTTTACACAGGCAGCCCATGTTCCAGTCTAAAGATATTTTGTTTGTCTGTATTATGCTATTGGTATGGAAGTATACGACACATTGTAGACAGAATGAATGTGAGAAATATTATGTGTTTTCTGAGTGTGTGTGTGTGTATACACACACATATATATGCATACTCCGATGATGCATAACTTTTCCAGCTACACTTTCAGTAGTGGCCTACGTTTGCAACCTGGTGACACTTTCCAGGCAGAATAAATCTGTAGTGCCATCAGCTCCTCCACCCTCCCACCCATGGTCTCCGGAAAGGACTACAGTGTTTCAACTCCATTTGGCCTACACTCACCTAAAGGATTATTAGGAACACCTGTTCAATTTCTCATTAATGCAATTATCTAATCAACCAATCACATGGCAGTTGCTTCAATGCATTTAGGGGTGTGGTCCTGGTCAAGACAATCTCATGAACTCCAAACTGAATGTTTAGAATGGGAAAGAAAGGTGATTTAAGCAATTTTGAGCGTGGCATGGTTGTTGGTGCCAGACGGGCCGGTCTGAGTATTTCACAATCTGCTCAGTTACTGGGATTTTCACGCACAACCATTTCTAGGGTTTACAAAGAATGGTGTGCAAAGGGAAAAACATCCAGTATGCGGCAGTCCTGTGGGCGAAAATGCCTTGTTGATGCTAGAGGTCAGAGGAGAATGGGCCGACTGATTCAAGCTGATAGAAGAGCAACTTTGACTCAAATAACCACTCGTTACAACCGAGGTATGCAGCAAAGCATTTGTGAAGCCACAACACGCACAACCTTGAGGCGGATGGGCTACAACAGCAGAAGACCCCACCGGGTACCACTCATCTCCACTACAAATAGGAAAAAGAGGCTACAATTTGCACGAGCTCACCAAAATTGGACAGTTGAAGACTGGAAAAATGTTGCCTGGTCTGATGAGTCTCTGATGATTTCTGTTGAGACATTCAAATGGTAGAGTCAGAATTTGGCGTAAACAGAATGAGAACATGGATCCATCATACCTTGTTACCACAGTGCAGGCTGGTGGTGGTGCTGTAATGGTGTGGGGGATGTTTTCTTGGCACACTTTAGGCCCCTTAGTGCCAATTGGGCATCGTTTAAATGCCACAGCCTACCTGAGCATTGTTTCTGACCATGTCCATCCCTTTATGACCACCATGTACCCATCCTCTGATGGCTACTTCCAGCAGGATAATGCACCATGTCACAAAGCTCGAATCATTTAAAATTGGTTTCTTGAACATGACAATGAGTTCACTGTACTAAAATGGCCCCCACAGTCACCAGATCTCAACCCAATAGAGCATCTTTGGCATGTGGTGGAACGGGAGATTCGTGCCCTGGATGTGCATCCCACAAATCTCCATCAACTGCAAGATGCTATCCTATCAATATGGGCCAACATTTCTAAAGAATGCTTTCAGCACCTTGTTGAATCAATGCCACGTAGAATTAAGGCAGTTCTGAAGGCGAAAGGGGGTCAAACACCGTATTAGTACGGTGTTCCTAATAATCCTTTAGGTGAGCGTATATGGTATATTTGAGACTTCATATCGTTCCATTTCCAATATGTATCTAGTCATCTTCCAAATTGTGATCGAGATTTGGGTCATGAGAGGGTCTGGAACACATAATTTTATAACACCAGCTAGTTTAACTTCAGGTCTTTGGATTGCAAGAGGAAATCCGTGCAAGAAGGGGAAAAGAAATTTTCCAAAAATTGCTTAACATAGGACTTGTTTCTTATTATCCACAAAGGGCTAGGTACAAGTAAATACAGTTTGGCAAGAAAGTTTTCCTACATACCTTGGATTGTTTAGCACCATATTTATATATAAAAGTATAAGACAAAAAAAATCTATCCATAACAACTGAGTCACCATTAATGAGCACCTTACTGTCATCCACACAGGGTGTTGAATGCAGATAACATACCTCGGTTCACCATTCAGTGAATGTGTATGACAGCCCTTAAAAGTAATCCAGGAAAAACTGGAGAAACATATTTCTATTTATCCTTAATGCTCGCTAGGATTTGTGGGACCAAGATGGTTAAAAGCATAATTACTATTTTATCATTTGTTGAGAATTTGTATTCAGCTACAGTTAACAAATAACAGTTTTCTACCATTTTTTTTCATATACAGTGGTACCTTGGTTCTCGAACTTAATCCGTTCCGGACTCCGGATCGAATCCTAAAAAGTTCAAGTACTAATTGAATTTTTCCCATAAGAAATAATGGAAAACCAATTGATTGGTTCCAGGCCCACCAAAAAGATCCCTGAATATGTTTTTTTTTAGCATTTAAGCACAAAATGAACAGGATAAAACAAGAAGAGCATTTTTTTTCTTAATGGCTTCCAAAACGATAAAGATCTTATCCCAACATTACCCCTGTCCTGCTCCGATCCTCCGCTCCTTCCTTGTGCCACACCCCCTCACTAACCTCGTGTGGGATCCCCATGTGATCATCTGTTTCTGGTTGTTGTCATTAGTCCTCTGTATTAAGTCCGCGTTTCAGTTTGTTTCCCCAGTCCGGTCATTGGGTGCGTTCGACTTGCTTACAGCGCTAGCTTAAAGCAACGCAATCTGATCCTGACGCAATGCATTACGGTTAGATGCATTGTGACCTCTCCCCCGGCTGCACAAACTGGAACCGCCTCCGTGACGACACACCTTTGCCCTTATTGGCTGAAGAGTTTAGTTACACGCATGACGTTTGTATCCCAGATTTGAATCTGTTATTTCTCCCGAATATCACGTTATGCAGTGAGAACTGGTTTTCAGTTAATTTACCTGGTAAAATAAAGTTTAAATAAATTACATAAATGCTCTAATAGTACACGTAAATTAGTGGTTTATTTATTGTTAGTTACCGTAATGTTGCGTTGCTTTATTTGGTTAATCGTCCAATCTCTGAAGAAGGCACTCAAGTAAGAATTGCATTGTAGTATGAGTCATTTCCTGGTGCGTACAATTTATATTAGGTCAGTACTAGTAAATTAGGTGCGTACACAATTCACAGAGGCCATCACCTGAAGTGACGGTGTCTAACCGCTTTCAGGTGCTTCCAGCTTTAGAGCCGGAAGAGACTGGGGAGGCAGGTGGGCCCTTGGGCACCAAGGAGCTGCCTACCCCCAGAGGAGGGAGGTTGTGGTAGTAGGGGATTCAGTTATCAGATGTGTAGATAGTTATGCGTGCACCCGTGATAGAGGGTCCCATACGGTGTCTTGCCTGCCTGGGGTCCAGGAAGGGGACCTTCCGAATCGAGTGGACAGGCTTTTGACCCCAGTCGGGGTGGATCCAGTGGTCGTGGTGCATATTGGCACCAATGACATAGGAAAGGGCAGGAGGGCTGTTCTGCAGGATAAATTTATAGACGTCGCGGATAAGCTTAGAAGCAGAACATCCACGGTGGTATTCTCTGGAATACTTCCCGTGCCACGTGCGAGTCAGGCTAAGTTAGCTGAGATAAGGGGATTAAGTGTGTGGCTAAAATGGTGGTGTAGGAAAGAGGGGTTCAGGTTTATAGGGCACTGGAAGACCTTCTGGAACAGGTGGGACCTGTTCAAGCTGGACGGGTTGCATCTGAACCATAGGGGAACCAGTGTATTGGGGAGGCGTATGTGTAGAGTAGTTGAGGAAAGTTTAAACTAGGGACTGGGGAGCAGGGAGGTTAGTTACGAATTTATGTGGGGAGAGACAGGAAGCTCAAATAAATATTAAAAGTGGGCACTGTAAAAGGCCTACCATTTGTGGTCTGTATTTAAATGCTAGGAGTATTAGAAACAAAATTAATGATTTAGAGGCTTTAATTTCATCGGACACTTATGACATTATAGGAATAACTGA